TATATATATATATATATTACTTTGGCACTTAAGAAAAGTTTTCAATAAATGAATGAATTTCTTCACACACGATGTTTAAAACTAAAAGTACCCTTGCTATTTCCCTCTCTTCCTACATTATTCTCTCGGGAAAAAGAGACAAATACCCCTTAAAAGTGCATGGGTCAGGATTTCTACCCCTTATTCTTGATTAATAACCTTTTTAGTCAAACAACTATACTAACAAAAGGGTATTAATCAAGAATAAGGGTTAAAAATCTAGACCCATGCACTCTGAAGGTAAATTCTGCAATTTTCTCTGTTCTCTATTCTTTCTCTATTCCTCTTCTCCCTCTTCAAATCAAACCCAAATCCAGAAACGACCTCCAATTCTGGAAATCTCAAACGCCCTTTTTTTTGTTATTTTTACTTTCAATAATCAACCCCACACCTTTTTAGCTTCTCGGGATTTCCATCTCTTATTCTTGTTAATTGTGATTGTAATTTAATTCTGAAGCCTAGTTTAGTTATATTATACAAGACTCGGCTACCCTTTACTATCAGAAGGAAAACAGCCAATCATGTCTTCAAAATGCTGTAATAGCCTATTTTCATATACCATCACAAGGAACATAACAAAAACATATCCGTAATTGCTTCCTGAAAAACACGCAATGTACGCAACAAATCAAATTTGCTCAATCAATTTGGAAATTAGGCATTCATTATAAACCCAAGGTGAGCGCAATCACTTACATTGCCAGTACAAAGTTCTGCCAAGATGCAGCCAAGAGACCATACATCTATCTTTTTATCATATGGAAGTCCCAAGATAACCTCTGGAGCCCGGTAGGACCTAGATTGAACATAGGAGCAGAGATGATCCGTCTCAAAACAACTACTCCCAAGATCAATGACCTTTACCTCACACCTACTGTAGCTTTTCACCAGTATATTCTCGGGTTTCAAGTCACAATGTATTAGGCCAAGGCCATGCAAAAACTGAAGAGCATCTAAACACTGAATCGTAATTGACTGCACAAACAATTCTTCGAAGTTTAGGCAAACAGAAAAGCAAAAGGGTACAATTTCTCAAGAAGAGAAGGAAGGAAAGGCAACAGACCTGCAATCTTGGCATTGTAAAGTAAACCTCTCCTCCTGATTCTCTATTAAATTTATGAAATTCGTATAAGTTTGCCTTGAGAAGTTCACATACTATTAGCAAATGTTCCTGCAAAGAAGATAAATTGACTCATGACTAATAGACTACTTACATATAGTTATTAACATAAACATGTAGAGCGCCCATAAACAAATAAGACAACTAAAGACTAGTGTAATGCACAAGAAGAAGATAGATTAAAACATTCAACACGCAGGATAGTGATAGTTTCACAGAGAAAACACTTCAATACAAACAATAAAAACTAAAAAATAAAATAAAAATAAAAATAACAACAACAAGAATAATAATGGTAATCGTTCTTTTTGACCTTCTCATTTCTAAGAAAAAGCATTCCTTACTCTTTGCAAAGCAATTATTTGTGATAACAGAAAAACCAATAACAAAATGTCCGTATAGGTAAAATACATTTCAAGGATTCTCTAAAATCCAAAATGAAAAATCTGTGTTCCTCTTCACCATGAAGATAATTTTGAATACCGACAAAATATATAGTGTTGTTCACATTTTCAAATAAGCAAAAGTGTAGGTAACCGTTCACGCAAAATGCTTACAACATAGTTAAACTGAATAACAAGACAGGAATATATACACATACATATGTATAAACACACACACACACACACACACACACACACACACACACACATATATACATATATATTTTGATGAGAAAGTATAAGCTTTAAATAAAATGCAATGAAAATGAGAAAAACATAAAATAGGGGACAAGTAGTCCACCAACAACTAAAACAGAAAACAAAACCAGGATCCTATATCTACGATCAATAAAACCAATATCCCCTGCTCAATGCAAGATTACAACCCAACCCCTTGGCAGATCTAAAAATGAAAACCCAGAAAAATCTCTACTTTGAGAAATCCATGACTATTTCCTTTTAGATCCTCAAAGACTGATTGTTCCTTTCCAACCTCAAAGCCCATTTGACAGTAAGGACAACTACATTTGACAGCCTTTTTGTAAGGAATATATATATAACAATAAAGAATACAAATACAGGAAAAAATTTAAAAATTAAAAAAGACTTGTATTATAAAATAATCCTATAATCCTTCTTCCGTCAATGACTCATTATTATACTTTTTTATGTAAAAAAAATCATTTTTGACAAATTAGACTTCCATCTCCACCTCTTCAGAACTATCACAAAAGGGATTGTCTGCAAAACTTTAGGTTTATGGTTCCCGTTTTCATAAGGCTGCTAAAAATCATAGTAACAAGATAATATGTGATAATGTGCGAGTAGATACAAATCCCATTCATTTAGGAATGTAAGTAAAAGAAACACACTTACTCGATAATAAAAGTAGTCATACAATCGGAGGAGGTGGTACTTGTCAGCAGGGTCATGCTTATTGACATACTTGAGAAGCTTTATCTCGTCTAAGCTTTGATCAAAAAAGTCCTTGTTGTTCTTTATTATCTTTACACAAACATCCATGCCAGTATGCAAATCATGTGCTTGTATAGCTTTGCTGAATGCGGCTGATCCAAGATACTCAGTAACATGATAGCGACCAGCTATCACTGAATTTAAGACGACATGAAAGTTCTTATCTTCTTCAAATCCAGTTCTGATCAACAAAAACAGAGTCCATTAGATGGGAAGCAGGCCTTCTTTAGCAGCAACAGTATGAAACAGTAATCAAGTAAAATAGTGTGCTTCAGTTTAATTCATTAAGGATCTTCTTAAAATAAAATCAACTTTATATTTCCCTTAAAGAGTTTCCTGTACTAGGGAGTTTGACGATGAACCTTTTCCATGTTATCTTTGGGTCAAAGGGATCTTTTGTAACTTTTATTTTGACACAATCTCTTCCACTGCTCTATCTTGTGCCTTTTTTTCTCACAAATAATACTGTGTTACTTACCATATATATTTGAGTAGCATAGGCTTCACACAAGTGATAAGCTAATTTACCATTTTGACATATACAGAGCCCCCCTTTTTTTTCAAACAAGAAGAATAAAAATTAATTACAGGGAGAGGAAGAGCACTCCTCAGAAAGAAAAAAAAAATGTCACACGTAAAAGAAAACTCATCCTATTCTACAAAAAAGGAGCCCAGTTCCTAGCTAAATCAAACAGAAAAAAGCTCCTGAAATCATTTTCCCCATGAACTCAAAGAGAAAACCAATATCTAACTTTTTCCCAAGTAACATCTCTGAATTCCTCACGATCCTAAAAATTCTATGGTTCTTTCCAACCAAATTCCCCAAAATATCGCAAGAACAGCTACCTCCCAAAAAGTTTAACTCCTAGAACTGCATCCGTATGAAAGGGAGTATTCTCACAAATCTTTGACATTTTTAGGAGTAACCCAGAGTAGTCCTAACTCCCTAAGAAGCAAACACCAAATCCTGTATGGATAAGGACAGTGCAAAAACGAGTGGTCGACAGTCTTTGTATTGTTCTTGCACAAAACGCTATGTTTATTCAGTCTACACCTCCAATAAATAAGCACCTTTTCAAACTATGTTCTTTTTCTTTCATCTTTATTATTATTTAAATTCCTCCATCCTTTAAGATGAATGAAAAAATCCTTCATCCTTTGGAGACACTCCCCAGATTTTTTTTTTCTCCCTTTCCCAGTAAGAATAATGAAAGAGGTATTCGTTATCATTCTATGACCAAGAGTGAAGATCGATTGTTATTCCTCCTAAAAAGATTTTGGGACCCTGATTTAAAAGGGGAAAGGATGAAGTTGTTTTCGTGTGCATGAGAGAGAACACACACACAAACACGAAGGCAAAGAAAAGGTAACAGTAATTTTCAAATTTCTTTCTCAGAATACTATTCATATTTCCCTTTTATAAAGTTCTTTTTTCTTGTCAAGACAAAAAAAAGGGGTAGTTGCATGGAAACCTATGCCCAAATGAGAAAAATCGATAGTTGTAACGAACAAAGACCAATCAATCTACATTTCTCAGATAATTTATTAAAAGAAAAATTGAAAGAAAAAGAAACCTGTTTTTTCGGTGCACAATCTTAAGGTTGAATGTTTCAAATTCTTCCTCTTGAGCCTTAATTTGCCTCACTTGCTCTTGAACAGCAGCTGCCTCTTCATCCTCAAGTGATGCTGCCGTATCTTCTTCCCTAGCAACACCAGCTTTTTCATCATCTTCTTGCTCCCCGTGCTCTCTTTCAGCATAAGCATAATTTGAGAGTGTTGAGGGAGAAGAATTAGTGGACCTAGCAGCATTACCATTGTCATCCCTGGAACTCTTGACAGGTGAAGAATCACTGCTCTTCCGCCTCCATGAAGTGAGCATGTCATCGGACCTCATTATATCATTCATGCACTCATCAGTATCATCACCAGCAACAGCATTACAGTTGTTTGACCATAAAGATTGACTAGAGCTTCCCTGCACCAGTTGTCCATCTCTCAGTGGTGGAGGAAATGAGAATCCCCCATCTGTGTGATTTTTCATCTCCATAGGTGCACCTTTACTATTCCCAACTACATATTTGTTTGACTCTTGTTTACTACTTTTCTTTTTATCTGTGATGTATCTCGTGTCTGAATCATGATGAGACTGTCTGGATCCACCAAATCCAACATCATGATCCCGGAAGTATTCTAGGTCCCCTTCACTACTGCCTCCAACTAAACTTTCCCTTACTTCACTACCAATATCCGCAGCATCACTGTTGATTCCTACGCCAATTGATCTTACTGAACCATGCTGATCATCCTCCATACAAATATCATCTAGACGCTGCCTTCCGCTGTCATTCAGAACTTTCCCATCACCTAACATTACAAGTTCATTTGTCTGAGTGACAAAGCCCTGCCAAACAGGTTCTGCACGCATCAAATTCAGTTCTTCTTCATCCATCAACTGCCCATCGTACTGAGCTATTAAGTCGTTATCATCATTCCTCCCGTATAATTCTGTCACCGACAGCCCTATAGGATCATCTGAAGCAGTAACTGGCTCAACACTTTTTGCTTGAAAGTACTGCTCACCAGAAAAGTAAGAATCCTCCTCAGCAAAAGACTGATCATCGTCCTCATCTTTGGTTGGACCTCTTTCCTGTAGATCTGGAACACTTGCATGCCCAGTTCCTTTTTCATTGTCACTTGGGTAATCAATTTCATGAGCCAAAAACCAGGCTTCATCCTCAATAGGTTGCCTCATATATCCCACATCGTCATCATCATCATACTCATCAGAATCCCAGTATTCATTTGGATAGTCAACAGATTCACTCAACCCATCACCAACAGTAGCAAAACCAGAAACCAGATCAGAAGTATCCTCTGCTATCCCCTGACTTACCGATAGCCAACTGCTTCCAGCGTTTCTCCTCCCACCTGAACCATTATCACAAAATAGCAGTTTAATGCTTAAATTCGCATGGGATAAACACCCAAAAAAATATTTATTTTAAGCTTATCAACATGCCTAACATCATAACCCATGATAGACTGAACATTGAATCTTTGACAGGAAGCTCACATACAAGTTACAAGTATTTGAGCCTATTTTGAAAGTCCTATACCAAACACATATGACCAAGGAAGCCATGCCACTGAATGTTGCCACAACATTTTGAGCACAGAAGATTATAAAAGACCAGTAGCAATCACTCAGGTATCAGGCTTGATGCATGTGTAATTGGAAACCAAAATACATTATAACAATGCACAGAAAGGTGTTCCATTCATTCTGACATAATTTTCATCAGCAAAGTAAACGAAAATATTTCCAATATGCATAATAACACCTGCAAACATATTAGGAATTAATGAAACATGAAAGGAAACCTATTACTTGTTTGCACATATAAGCAAGTCTTCACGAGAAAACTTAAAGAAGAGGCAGCTATCTGATTCGTTTGTTTAATTATTATTTTGATAAGAAACTGAATATTTGATTAATCATGAAAAGAAAATAAACGTACAACAATGGATGAATGGATCCGAAGATAACTATATGATTAGTTAATAGTAGTTTTGTGCAACTAGTACAAAGTAAAATAGACTAAACGTATCATGCAGTTATTGAAGTCTATTTCTAACAATCCTATATTGAGCAGATATGGCCAGTGAAAACATCCTATGTCTGTTTTGTCTCCGAATTGGAGTGTTATGTGCAGGTCAAATTTAGAATCTATGGATCATTTGTTTTTACACTGTGACCTGGCTCCGCAACTCTGGTGGAAGCTTTTGGAAGCTGCTGGTCTAAATTGGTCTTTCCCAGTTCATAGTAATTCAGTTCTAGTGGAGGATTGGGTTGGTTTTGGCAAGAGTAAGAAGGCTCAGACAATTTTGCATTCAATGATTTTAGCTATTCTCTGGGTTATTTGGTGGGAGAGGAATCAGAGTATTTTTTGAAGGAAAAGAAATGCTACTCAAGGATTTATTTGAGAAGGCAAAATACCTAGCTTCTATATGAGCTTCAACAGATCCATCGTTTAGTCAATTCTCACTATCCTTAATTCTGTTAAGCTGGGATGATGTGCTAAGATAGACTTTTTAGTCATGTCTTGTGTTTAGCTAAACAGCCTTTTGTTTTGTTCTCTCTTGTTATTTCTGTGCTTTTTGTTTCAGATGGCTTTCTCATCCATCTGAGAACTTCATTTGTAATTTGTATTCTATTATTTTAATGAAGTTCTTTGAGAACTTCATTTGTAATTTGTATTCTATTATTTTAATGAAGTTCTTTGTTTCTTATCAAAAAATAATAATAATAAATAAAAGCAGATATGGCCAGAGATGCCTTGGCTATGTTATTGAAACGTAATAAGAATACACGTTGTTCTATCTAGAAATAAGAAATGGTTTAAAAAAGGAATGTTTAACGGTTTATGATGACCAATTCACTAGCTACAACAATGGCTCTTTAAACGTAATAAGAATACAGGTTATTCTATCTAGAAATAAGAAATGGTTTAATAAAGGAATGTTTAACGGTTTATGATGACCAATTCACTAGCTACAACAATGGCTCTTTAAATATATATATATAAAGAGAGAGAGAGAGAGAGAGAGAGAGAGAGAGAGAGAGAGAGAGAGAGAGAGAGAGAGAGAGAGAGAGAGAGAGAGAGAGAGAGAGAGAGAGAGAGAGAGGAAAAAATACAATAAAAGATACAACACGCATTCCATCATAAGAACTAACCTGAAGAGTTAATTTCTTGCCCAACAGGGACATCTAGATATGACCCTATAAGCAGGGCGTTTTCAGCGCTGCTGAGTTTAGTGACAGGACCATCTCGATCGTACTTTTCCTCCCAATTAACATTCAATAACTTGTCTTCTGACTTGAGTTTAACAGGTGGCAACCTTGGTAACTCTTCTTTTTGATTCTCTGACACAAGTGGAAAAACTAAGCTGCTGATGGTCTTTTTCTCGGAACTTCCTTGTGACTTCCCCATGTATAAAGCTCTACCCACTTCATCCACTTGCTCCTTTATTGCTACCCTTACATCACTCACCTCTACTTTTCTCTTTCCTTCCTTCTTGTCCGAAGCAGAGCCGCTGTCAATACCAGTTGAAACATCTACCTTAGGAAAGGGGAAAACAGTCTTTACAGAACAGTCTTTCCACGCACCTGAAGATGAATTCGCAGCTTCCTCGCCCCTTGACCATAGATTATCAGTAAAGTTTTCTTTGAAGTATGCGCCACCACTAGTCTTAAGCTGCTGATCCAGTTCCTTTGGTTCACTCATCTGGGTTTTGTCGTACTTGGGTTCCGTAACAACTTTACTGGTACTTCCAACCCAAGAATTTTTCATTTCACCAGAAAAACTAACATCTCCGGATTTCGCAGTAATTTTCCCTGCTTCACCAGAATCCTCACCTCCAGCATACTGATTTGCAGTGCCATTGCTGGAACTAAACTTCCACGAATACAAATCGAGCACAGTGTCCTCAGAACCGTTATAAAAAGTGAAGCCCTTGTCACTAGTCCCAACTGCTTCATTCCCTTTATTCCGCTCCCCAGTAGAAGTGGCATTCTTCCATTTGCTTTCAGACCCATTTCTACCAGTCCCACATTGTATCTCCTTCACTATAAGCTCCTTTGAAACTTCACTGGCGTTATGAGAAAACCTTTGATAATCTGCAACAGGTTTGTCCCCGTTCTCTCTTTCCAGGGAATTGCCCAAAGAATCCTTGTCTTCCAGAGTAAGCTTTTGAAGAAAAAGGTTCAAGTCAGGTCGATTACTAAGCTCTCCACGCAAAGCTGCCTCGGCTCTTGTGAACCGGTTTCTCCGCAGAAAGTCCAGAATCAAATCGACTGAGTTTGTGTCAGCCATTTCTCTAAGCTAGCCCTACTCGCCTACACCTGAGAAAACCACCAACCAAATCTCATCCTATTCAAAAGAATTCAAACCACCATTTATCACCTTCTCTCTTCACCGCTTGCAAAATGCCCACAACAAAGAAATACTACAACTTATCCGAAATTTGTTCCCAAAAAAAAAAACAAAAAACAAAACAAAACATACCTCGTATTACTCTAAACCGAACAGCAACATTCTGTCTTCTTCATAGTCCTGAACAATGGGAAGAATCAAAGATTCAGAAACCCATAGTTTCTTTTCTTTTTCCAGGACATTTTCTAAGCAACCAAGCAAACCAAAAAAGAATATAATAAATAAATAAATAAATCCCAAAAAAACGTCGAAACCCAAGTCACAAAATCCAAATTTTTTTGGCCGGCCAAAAGCAATTGGATTGGGAGTGGAATATTCGCGAGGTGGATCCGGAATCGAGAACCAGATTGCGGTTCCCAAATCCAGAAATTCAATAAATTCGAGGGTTACAAAAGTAGAAGAATTAGTTATTAAAAACAAAAAAAAACAAAAAAAAAGAGTGGCGATTTATTTGGCGCTCGCGACACAAAAACCTCCCTCTATCTCTGGAAAATGGGATGGAAAATGCAAGATCTGCAAAATCTTCGTCCTCCCAAGAGATTGGTGGGTGGTAACGAGGATCAAAAATGGTTTCCAGAGATTTTTTTTTTCTTTTTTATTGAGAAAAAATAAATAAAAGAAGAAGAAGAAGAAAAAGAAAAGGGAAGCCCAAAATACAAAAGAAGAAGAAGAAGAAGGAGAAGGAAGAACCTGTGGGGGGGAGAGTTCACTTTAAGAGTGAATGTGATTTCTTTGATTTGTTGGTTGTTGTGAAATGTTGGGGAAGAAGGGAGGGCTGGGCATGTTTTTAGTTTAGGGTCGAACAGAAGAAAGAAATGGGGGGTTTATTTTTATTTTTTATTTTTGAGAATAGAATATGGGGGGTTTAATTTTTATTATATTATTATTAGTTTGGAATTTAGACAGACATATATATCTCTCATAAGAATAATCTTCTCTTATTTACGACCTCACCCCCTCCCTCCCTTCTCTTCTCTCCCGCTTCCTACGCTCCACAGTCCACACCTATGTGGTTTTTAAAATACTGTTTTAATACAAAGTAGAATAAGCACATCATTAGTAGGGGTGTAAGAATTTAAGCCGAATCCGATGAATCCGTTTAAGCCGACCCTACTTACTCAAAAATAGTGGGATTTTTTTTTGCGGTAGCAATAATGCCCAACCCATAAAGTACGGGTAGGGTCACGGGACAGATTTAAGAAACCCGATATTGCCCCTATCCGGCCAAATTTATCAACACAATGAAAGAAATCAGCCATAAATCTAATGGCCATGTTTGAAGTTGGTTTTGTTTTTATTTTTCACGTTTTTTGAGAAAGAAAAAATGAAAACGGGAGAGAAACGTTTGGCACAATTAAAGACAAAAAACGGAAATGAAAACGATTTTTTGGTTTAGTGAAAAATGAGAGAGAATTGAAAAATGACTTTTAGTCATTTTTTATTTTTTGTTTATGTTTTCTCCTCTCTCGAGCACAGAGAGAGAGGGAGAGACATTAATGGATTTTTTTATACTGAAAATAATCTCTTGATAAAACTACCAAACGCATTTTCAAAAATGATTTCTGTCTGAGATTGAAAACATTTTCATTTCCATTCTCATACAAAAAATAAAATCATTTTAAAACGAGATCCAAATGTACCCAATGTTTTCTTTAGCCCAATTCCAACGTTTTCTTTGACCACGGCTATTTTTGAACACACACACAACACAACACAGTTATTTTCAAACACACACAACACAAGCCCAATCCCAACGTTTTCTTTGGCCAATGATAATGGGCTTAATTGCAAGAACCTCAACGTCAAGGCCCAATCCGACCAACCCAGTCACCCCGAGCCTACCCGAGATAATCTGAAGGGTTACGGGTTTGTTGGCTTAAAAAAGTGTTATGGCCCAAATCTTTCTCAACCCGCACATTACGGCTCGGCCCAATTTCAGGGCCAAGGCATGTATAATCATTAGTGTCATTCTCTTCTCTTCTCTAATGTCTCTACCGTTTATAAAACAAATGATAGGACTCACCAATAAAAATAAAAAGGCAATGATCTAAACGTTTTTGTTGCAAAAAATGAGTGCATTGTAACATACCGATTTGAATGGTGGTTCAAACCTGCAAAACAAAAGGATTAAGGTGTTCAAAGATGAAATTGGACTTGACTTTATTTCTTAACGTGGGCTTTGGGAGCTTAGTGTAATTTTCACTCTAAGATTTGCATAATTTTTTTGGAGGAAAAGGAGACAAATACTTCTTAGAGTACATAGGTCTCGATTTTTACCATTAATACCATTTTTAGTCAAGTAATTACATTATTCAAAAGGGTATTCATGTAAAACCTAAAATTTTCTTGGGGTTAATTTGAAAATTTTAAATGGACTTGATTGTAAGAATGTTAGAAAAGTGGGTGAAAATTTGAAACTTTATGAAATTTTACGTCAAACTGATTCAACCAGCCTTTGACCGGCCAAAAGCCACTAGAGGACAAAGTTATTTTATGATAAAAATCCTAATCTAAAAACTATGTCACACCCACAGATTCCTTACTTGAGATGAATAATGAATCTGTATACTTGACTTGTGCCTTTTGATGTGCTAAAAGGAGACATCTTGACATTGTGTAAAAGTGCGCTTACTGGTATGTTGGGGGTATGACTCTTGTATGCGTAGATTTTTTATTCATAGATAGAGAAACCATAGCTCTTATTAAAAGAGTTAATGATATCCTCTTATGGAATTATCCGGAGATCATAAAACATAAGCGCTTAGTCATTAGACTACTTTGTGTTATCTAATACTTTACTATTTGTATTGGTATGAATAGTAGTTTTCTGATAGAGTGATAATAGAATATAAGATAAATATAATCGGGAAGGTAAAACGGAACTTGATATCAAGTCGATTATGGATTTCCTATGGGGCTGATTCACAATATAATAAAGTCATGGATAGGAGCTAATTGGGGCTTTGTAAATATATTGTATTGATTGAGAATGCAGTTTTAGTTTTTAGTGGAGTAGCACTGGAACTTATAATCATGTGATGAACTTGTGAGTTAACAAGTATTGTTGTGATTATAGGAGCTTGATCAATACATGTTTATCGGGTCCCTTTACTAGCTCGTATATTGTCCTGATATGATACAGCGTATTTCCTACATATTGGTAACTTATGTTGTTCGTGCAATTGGTTATAAATCGGATGGAATTAATTAATGAGTGATTTACCGGTTGAATTAATTGTTTAAATTAATTCAAGATAAATTGGTTGAATTAATAAAGTGTTTAAATTAATTTAAGAGTTATTTATCGATTGAATTAATTATGTAAATTAATTTCAAGATAAATTAGTTGAATTAATATTTTTGTTTGATATGAGAATATAAATATATAATTATTTTAATCTTATAATTTTTACATTGAATTATTTGAATTAAAATTGGATTATATATATTATTCTCAGATTCAAATAAAAGAAACAAAACGGGCTAAAAAACATTCATCTGATTAACCGGTAGGCTACATCTGGTTAACCAGACCAAGTTAAGTAGTACGGACATAGTCCATCGTCCGGTTAACCAGGCGGTCTACGTGGCACCAACTAGTTACAATTTTAATCACGATTTTTTATCCGAAAACTTTACAGAATTGCAAAACAAGTCTAACCTATCTTTATAAATGGCCCATTACATCCTAGAGTCATTTACATCACTTGAGAGATTCTTTGGCAAGTCATTGGTAAGGGTTCTTGAGAGGAAAAATATTCATACATCAAGAATGATTTTCTTTTGGCTCTCTTGTTGTTGGAAGGAGATCAAGATACCGAGTAGGAGATTAAACGACGCGTGCCCACTCGCACTTTGGTCGTGGAAAAGAGAATAACAGAGAAGATCAGTTAGTTGAGGCTCTTTCGGTGTCTATTCCATTCGTTATAATCACTTTCAAGATTCAACGGTTTGTCTCCTAGGGTTTTCTATATACTTTTGTTATTATAAATATATGGTGAATGTTTAATAAATAACTTTATTATTATTATTTTTACTAATTATCAATTGTTATTATTATTTAGTTTTGACCGGTTATGGTTCCTTAGAGTTTAAAATGATTATATTTAGGAATTTATTCTTGGTTATGTAATTAAAAATACGACCTATCATCGCCGTTAGGTTTATTTAATTTTTCTTTTATAGAATTTTTGTAAACCAGAAATGTTATGGGATTTTTTATGTAAATTCATGGTGGAGATTTGTCTTGGAATGAAAATGGATCTTGAAGGTAGAGGACGTGAAGGTTTCTAATTTTTCCAAAAGGCTGTCATCTAAGGCTTCATAAGCCGGGATTCGAGTTTTGTGATCTTCAGTCTTCGCAATTTGGTTTCTCTCTGGATTTTGACCTCGTACCTTGTGACGCCTAGTCTAATTCTAATTCCCCCTGAATCCTAGAATTACAATAATTTAATGAATGACTATAACTGATACATGGAACTATATAATTAACGACCAAATTCATCATCCATACATTCATCAACATGAATAAATATAAACATCCTTAATTAAATGTAAGTGCATACCCATCACATACACACATAATTAAATATCACATATTTAATATAATATTGACTACCACATAATCGAAACATAAATTAATATAGTTTATTGACCTTTCTAATACCAATTGCAAGTTTTGAAAACGATTTTCTATGTAAAAGCATGCATCTAGTGGATCTTGTATAACAAAAATTTTAACAAACCTTTGAGATACTTTATAGAATACATTAATTTATGCACGAATAAATTAATCAAATTAATTTATGAATAAATTTACCTAGCGAACGTTTAGGTCAATAACTTACGTTCCTCACTCCAAACTTGTTTGAAATACCCGAATCTTCCTCATTAATTCATTAAATCTATGAAAACGTGTGTGTGGGCACACCTGATATAAAACGGGATTAGCATTTAAAACACTTAAGTATTCCACGAACACCAACACATGCATGATATGGAATTGAGAGGAAATTTTCCTTTCCTCACTCTATAAAAAATTGGCCACTTAAGCTAGGGAGAGCAAAAAATTGTGTTCTCTAATTTTCTGTAATCTCCTATTTATAGAGTAGCTGCGAGACTCCCAGAGGAAATTCAATCTTTATCTCCAAGATACATGTTGATAATTATCTCTCACTTCTAATTAATTTTAGAAACAAAATTCTCTATCTCTATCAACTAATGGCCGGCCACCACATAGATATTATCCCTTGTGGTTGGCGCAATCTATAGATAGGGGAAGGAGAAAAATTCTCTATTATCCTGTAGTTCAATTTTTACTCAAATTCAAATTCTAATTAAAGTCAAACTCTAACCAATTTAAATTCTAATTGGATAATTTATCAAATAAGTCAATTGCATAACGTAGAGAGTAAGCAACTGAATTTCAGTTGGACTCACAATGAGATAGGCGCCCACCTTAGGTGATCAACATCACTTGCACGTTCCAAAATTTAAATTTAAAGAATTACATTATTTAATATTTAATTAATTTTCAGTGTTTTATTTAGAATTTCATAATTCTAAAATTTACATTTTGCCCTTAATGTCTTGTAAAATTACAAGGATGATGCGGGGACTCATAAACCTATAATTATGAGCTTCAATAAAATTAATAATTAATTAAAACTCTTTAATTAATTAATTAATTCTATTAATTCAAAAATTACTCCAGTATAATCTTAGAATTGCACTCTCAAAATTATAAATATAATTTACTTTCAAACTATGAAGTGTCTATTTGATATAGTCATTACATATAAATCAATCATCCATAAATAATTCATAATTAGAGATATGTGAAATCCGTTAACCTCTCTAATTATATCTTTATCCTTGAATACCATTGATTCTCTAATTGATAGTGATTCATAAAGCAAATTCATGAATCAGAGCTCCTACTAATCCAACTACCAAATCAACTGTCAAATAGAATTATTTATCTACTTCTTTTTCAAGAATGAATGGATTCTATATCGTATATTAACATTTTTGACTACCCACTTCATCATGTCTCTAAGATACAAGGAATATGATTCGACATATCAGAATTCATACCGAGTAAATCAAAAGATACAAAATATATAAATATGAGTCTATTAATAACTCGGGATTAAGATCATTCTACATATGATCATCAGTAGACTCAATTAGAATTCCATACTTAACGGAAATTATTATAAATGCATATTGTGTCTGTGTCCCGGTTCCACATAATCTCATTATGCGTAATACACGCATTCAATATCTCGTCATATTAATAGTGTGGATAACATCGTTCCATTGTAAATGAGAATGACATGTATTAGTAATGTCTTAATTAAAGATTCTAAACTTTAATTAAATTCATTACACATATTATTTTAATTATTATCTTTAAATATTAATCTCTCGCATATAATACTTATATACAATATTTAAGGTCACATAAATAATCATGAAATTTCTAATGATATTCATAAAATATCAATAATATATAATATATGAACATAAAATAATAAATATAATCTTTTATTAAGTAAATAATAAATATCTTATTACATCTATTATTTTTAGGACATCATTCCCTTAATGTTTGGGTAAAAAAAAATTATGGGTAAAATTGCATTATATGTGTATAGGTTAGAATCAGAGAGGTCCTCTCCCGGCTTAAGAAAAAATGAGGCCTCAGGTGAAAATTTTAATCTATTATTCTTCTTCATTTTAAGCTTTTTTATTTTTTTATTTTTTTTTAGATGATCCAAGCTATGTCAAGCAATTGTTTTTTCGTTCAAAGCTTTCTCCAGGATTAGGTATATTCTTGAATATAAATAATAATAATAATAATAATATTCTGCGGAAGAAGATGTTCTCAATGGTTGAAGCTTTTCAGTCGGCTCCAGGGGAGGATCAACATGGATTGTCTTCGCAAGATAAAAACTTAGGAGATGTTTAGTTCATGGATTATAATAATGAGATTAGAATTATTTTTAATTTACGTGTATTTTTTGTGAGAGAAAACACTGTAGCGAACCATGAACCATGATTCAAATCAGGGTACGAATCATCTTACAAACACATCCTTAGTTTGGTATTGCCTTTTCATCTCAAAATCAGCTTATGCTTGTAGCATAAGCTGATTTTAGTGTTTTATAAATCTCCTCAAAAGTACTTTTTGAAGAATTTTTCAAGAATCTACAGCCAAAATCATAAGCAGCCTAAAGACAATTTTAGCTTTTAGATTGTGCAGGAATCAACATAGTACAATTAATGAAACTTTTATAATACCCACAATACCCCTAATGAAATTTAAAATTTACAATCTTCTCAATTTACAATTCAGGCTCGTAATATAATATAATATAATATAATATTATATTGTAATAAATAATATCATAATTATATTAATAATTCTAATATTATTATTTTATCATATAATATGATATTATAATAATATTATAATTATTTTAATAATATGATATTATAATTATAATATAA